GTGTGTGTGTGTGTGTGTGTATATAACATGCCAAATATATTTTACAGGTTGTATCATGATGACCCTGTTATGAACCCACTGACTCCTTGGGAGAGACCACCTATAAAAAATGTATTTTGCATATATGGTGCTCATTTAAAGACAGAGGTATGACTACATTCTCCAAATGACATTTTTTGTCTGTTTTGTTATTATATTCCTCGTTTTCGGCAATATCTTTTTTTTATTTGTGCTCTTATCTACTCCCTTCATTATATGTTCTTGAACGTTAAAGATACTAAATTTGTGAAGTTGTAATAGGTTGGCTATTTCTTTGCCCCTAGTGGCAAACCTTATCCTGATAATTGGATAATTACGGATGTCATTTACGAAACCGAAGGTTCCCTCGTGTCAAGGTAAACTTTCGCAATGGCAGCAAGCAAAACAGCATGTAACGTTTTCTGTATCAGTTTGGAGGTGTAATATCTCATTTGCATCAGCGAGTTGTTACATAACTAATATTTCATTAGTTTTTCTATCATCTGCGTTTAAGATTAGTATATGATCATTGGCTAAAGATGGGAAGAGGTGTGACGTTCTTGCATGAAAAATGTCACTGACACCAAATATAACTGGCAGAACAGAAAAATAGTCTTTCTATATTTTCGCTTAAGAAACCGTAGACTAGCTCACATCTTTATGCTGCAAATCTTCAGGTCTGGAACTGTGGTTGATGGGAACGCTGGGCCTATAACTGGGGATGAGACGGTAATCTCAGAAGTTGTGTTTCGGATTATTTTGCTGCAAAACTACTGAAGATCAATATAATATTGCTTCAAGATCGCTACGTGTTATGTATTGTACTGCGGTCTCCATATTGATTATTAATTTTACCTCTTATAGGTACCCTATCATTCACTCTCCTGGTGCAAGAATTGGCTTGGACCTAAAGTCAACATAACAATGGCTCCCCAGGTACACTCTTGTCTTGTGCATTTGTTTATCTTCCACTATTTTTTTCTATATTTTAAAGACCTTTTATGCATATAGATAATCTGGGTGTATCAGTTTTTCATAAATTAAAACAGCACTAAAAGAAATTCTCATTGACAAAAACAGCCAGAACACGATGGAAGTGATGTACAAATCGAATTGAATGTTGAACATGAGCATGGGTCAGACATCATTGCGAACATGACAAAAGCACCAAGAGTGAAGTACATAACCTTCTACGAAGACTCCGAGAGTATTCCAGGAAAGAGAACGGCAGTGTGGGAGCTTGATAAAGGTGAGTACCAAATATATCAAAAACTGTTGAGACTAATCAAAGTATATTTCATTGGTTTTGACTTTTGGCTAATCATTTTCTTTTGTGCAGCGAATCACAGGAACATCGTTAGATCTCCAGTTCTTATGAGAGAGTTATGGCTTCAGATGTGGCATGACATTCAACCTGGTGCAAAGTCCAAATTTGTCACCAAAGGTAACAAAAATAATATTTGGCTATACGATCACTTTCTATTGCTTTTGGGTGTAAATACGAATACGTTGTCACAGCCAAGCGCGGGCCACTTAGAGATGCGGATTGCTACTGGGATTACGGGAAAGCATGTTGTGCTTGGCAAGAATACTGTGAATACAGGTTTCCACTCTCATCTTCCATCCAAAGTTTCATATCTATCATACCTGAAATCTATAACTTTAAACCGAATGCAGATACAGTTTTGGGGATGTTCACTTAGGACAAAGTTGTAGATTGAGGAACACATCTGCTAATATGCTGCTCCAGTACATATAGTTCTCCTCGTTCAGGTCACAATAATTCCTTCCTCTTATTTTTTCCCTCCCAGTAAGAGAAAAAAAGCTTCTAAACGTTGAATTCTTATTGGTCTCTCTATATCTATACTTTTGCCTTCTCACGCAAAGGTATTCTTTTGTGATTTGTAGCTAGAGTGCAGTTACTTTGAATTTTCGGCTAAACATATGAAAAAGGTATTTTCGTTAATTACACCTGCTAAGGTAGTAAAACTTATTTACTTTAGGTTTCTGTGTTCGCAAAACCGTTTGAAGTTAAGTTGCATTTGAATTCTCAAGTGTTTGGTTGTTTCAAATGCAATCATTTGAGCTAGCAGTCAATGATAAACATACTTTTATATATCACCATTGAATTATTACTAGATATGTAAAATTACATGATCCTTTTATTTATATAAATAGATACATTTATAATATTTATATTTATAATTATAAAAATAGGTGTTAAAGTGGTACTTTTAATTTTAAGGTTTTACGTTTATGATAAAAAATTGGGAAAGAGAAGGAACAAAGCATAATTAGGTGGGAGAATTAAAGTTGACAGTGGTTTGATTGTTTGGTTGAACATGAGTTTTGAGCTTTTCTACGAGAGTTTGTACTTTATATATATTGAAATTAAGTGTTTAGTCAATTTTATGGTCCCTCTCAAATTTGCTACCTTGTATTAAATTATAGACATGCATTATTTTCGTGGTGTTTTTTTATAGGTCTAAGGTTGGCATTATTCTTTCAGTCAGTTGGATGAAAGGTGGCGAACTTAATGCATAACTATCCAAAACCCAAACAGATTGCGTACCCTCACGTCTATCAAATCTCTGTTTAAACGCTCTTTGTTAGCTATGCAAGCTACTTATATTTATTTGCCTGCATTTCCCGGTTTTCATCATTTATGTTAACAGTTTTTAAGTTAACATATAATCAAGTTTTCTTCAAATAGATGTTAAATATCGAACTTCAAAACTATAAAAAGTAATAGGACGTCGTTAAAAAGATAATAGGATTAAAAATGAGAACTTTTTTGTTGGTCTAAATGTTAAGACATTAAATGAGAACTTATATCATGTATAAAATTATATTTCACTTTTAGACTTTTATATGTTTAGCTTTGCACTATAATAGCTATTATATATATGATAACTACATCCTACTTGTCAATTGATTGAGGTCGGGCCTTACAGTTATTATTGTCTTTTTTTTTTGGCAAAAACAGTTATTATTGTCTATTATATGTTTTTGTCATAATGGTATGAATTTTTCAATAACAAGATAAATCCTAAAATGAAATATAAACTAATTACAAGATATATAAACAAATCAGATTTTACAGTCATTATTTAACGTGTTAAGTTTTGTATTAAGTTGATAATTTCTTGAGTTCGATAGTGTAGGTGATAATTAATAGATGAAAACGTAAACTAGGGAAAAGTCATAACTGAATCAATTTTCTTTCTCCTGTTATATTTAGCGTGTGCGCGTCATCTTCATTTACATATAACCACAAATAGGAAGGTATAATTTTGACACTTAAGAAGTTAATTGTGTTGTACTGATCTTGTGCCTACACGCAACAAAGTTGCAAGGCTTGTGTAATATAGTAAATGATAATGTATAAATGTGGTCTAATCCAAATTATTTTTTGAATAGAATTTATTCTTGATCAAACCACATTACGAAGTAACAAACTCGTTGAAAATATAAATGATATTGCATTCTTTTCTGTAAATGATAGTTATCGGACCTATACATGTCGCACTGTGGTTACTAGTTAGTATTGCTCAAATTACTGATACAAAACTTAATTTGGGAAAATAAATAATTTGTGGTTTGTAAACTAAATATGAAAAGAAGATATTCATAATCATATTGCAATTTAACTGAAGACAGATTAATATAAATTGATATCAAACAGTCATCTTTTAGTTTTATGTATGATTTTACAAGGATTTTACTCATATAAGTTTTATGCCAAAGAAGCCAGATTTTTTTAACATTTGACAAAAAGGGCAATTCAGTCACTTTTTTATGGTAACCCAAAATTGAAGAAACGGTAAAGGAAAAAAAGGGTAATCTAGTCAATTCCGGTTGAGTGGTACTTTAGTAATTTCATAGAACGTCAAGGGGAATCTAAGCACCCCGCCTATATAAATTGTCATAATCTACCCATTCCCGTGAACTTTCTGTTATCCCTTCTTATTCTTTCTCTCAATTTATATCTCCCTCTCTCTCCTTCTCTCTCTAGAAGCTCCGATTATATTCTCGACAAAAAATTAAAATCCCTAAATTTTTCCTTTTCACTCGAGTATTTTGATTTTACTGTTTTAACGATAGTTAAAAACTTTTTCTGTGTTGGGTGCTGACGTGGCATGCATTCAATAGAAAAACACCATGAACACCAAAACGATGCGTTTACCCCCACGTCGCGTTCTAACGACCGAAAAGCGCAAAGAAAGAGACGGCATCATCTCCTCCGTCGTGAAGCCGCCGGAATCTGCCGTGACGAAATTTCATCCCCCGCCAAATCTTACTCCTCCGGTGGTTAATTCCATTTCCAAGAAAGCTCTAATCATAGCCGAGCCGGTCGGCTCGAACCAGCTAATTTTAGCCGGTTACTTGAGTCACGAGTTTCTCACCAACGGCTCACTCTTCGGGGAGCAATGGAATCCGGCCCGAGCCCAAGCCGGTCCACCCGAGCCAAAGAAGGTTAAGCCGAACCATACTGTTGAGCCGGTTGAGGAAAGTGAGCCGAAACGGAAGAGGTACATGGAAGCCGCAAATCTCCTCAGATCAGATGGGGCCCACATGCCCGGCATCGTCAATCCAGCCCAGCTTGCCCGATTTCTCAAACTATGATCGGCGTAATCCGGCGTACACGTGGAGAAAGATCATTGGTCCGTCGCCCAGCAAGCAAGACAGCCCTAAAACCAGAATCTGCCGCTCCTCTCTCTCTCTCCATTTTCTTTTTCAAATGTTTTTAAAATTTCTCTCAATGTAAAGCGCTAACTCTCGCTCTCTTCTCCATCGTCTTCTTCCTCGAAATCGATCGAGAAAGTTTAGAGTTTGTTGTGAGGTAGATTGTTCTTGGTCTTGTACATCAAAAAAATATATCAATTAGCCAATCGGTAATATTTTGAAAATCTGAAACTTAATTGACTATGAATTATTGATCAATCCGATCCATACAATTTTCGATAATTTTTTTCTGAATTATAAAACTGGGTTCATGGATCCTAGATTCGAATTCTTCTGGAGATTTAATATTATGTGTTGATAGAAATATGATAATATAGGGAACAAAACTCGAAACTTAAAAAACATTTATTCTCAATCTCGCTTCTTCTTCTTCCTCGTCTTCATCAACTCAGCTATTCTCTTAGATATGCAGTAAGCAGTACTCTGAATCGTAACCATAGGATTAACACCAATCGCCGTAGGCAAAACACTCGCATCACACACAAACAAATCCCCCACCTCCCAGCTCTCTCCATATCCATCAACAGCTCCTTCCTCCTCCGTCTTTCCCATACGACAACACCCCATCTGATGCGCCGTAAACGAATGAGTCCAAAACCTACTCGTCGACACAACTCCACGTGGCGCATCCACCTCTCTCAAAAACACCTCCAGATCCTCCTCCTCGATTCCGTCGCACTTCAATCTCTGTCCATCGCTCCTATACGTCCCCACTTCCTCCGCACCCGCCGCTACCAATATCCTCAGCGCTTGCCTCAACCCTATCGTAAGATTCCTTTCGTCTCCGCTCGTTAATTTGTATTTCACTATCCCTCCTTTCACTTCCCCAACGCCTTCGTCACGCACCATCACGAATATGTGAGACGTTCTTGTGTATTTCGCGAGTCTATTCTTCATATCTGATCCTGAGATCCACGGGATGAGAGCTGCGAATGTTCCAGGTCCTAACGCTGGAGTCTCTAACGTGATGTTAGGTGTTTTAGAGTCTATTTCGAATACGTAGTGTAGTGACGTCATGATCTCTCCTTCGTGTGCTGATCCGTTGAAATCAGAGTTTTTCTCAGGGAAATACCCCCACGCCATTAGTATAGGGTGAATGTGGAGATTACGACCAATGTTTGGATTCTTTAACCCGCTTGATGATAACAGCTCCGGTGTCATCAGCGAGCCGCATGCTATAACCGTCACTTTAGCATTGATTTGAATCTTCTTTGTGATTTCGTTTGTTAAAGAAGCTGTAACTCCTAAACATTTTTTTCTTTTTCCACTATCTGTATCGGTTAAGATCAGCTTCTCCGCCTTACACTGTGTTAGAATCACTGCATTGTTGTCAACTGCATCAACCAGCCAGGTAATATCTGTGCCTCTTTTATCACCAGTTTTGCAACCAAACGAGCAGCTACCGCAAAAATGCTCCTCTGAGGAGTTTCGAGGCACTACAGTCACATCCAAACCGAGCTTCTCGCATCCCTTACGCAGAATCTGGTTCTGAAAACCTTCTCTGATGATATTCTCTGTGACACCTATCCTCTTGCAGACACTTTCCATGGCTGCTGTGTATTCGTCTCTATTAAATATTGCAATCCCTCTTTCCTTTGACCATTCTTCGATGATGGCGTCTGGTGTTTTCAACGAAGCGGCCCAGTTTATCACCGAGCCGCCGCCGAGAGTTGACCCTGCCATGAACCTGAACCTCCCGTCGTGAGTCATTAACAAGCCGTTGGCTTCGAACATTTCGAACATGGAAGGGCCTTCGAGAGTTGAGTAGTCTTTGGGTACGAAGTAGTTTCCTTTCTCGAGGACTATTACTTTGAGGCCTGATTTTGCTAGGTTTGCTGCTGCAACTCCTCCACCACAGCCCGAACCTACTACTACTGCGTCGCATTCGATTTTGAAAGTGTTGGCTTCTTTGTCTTCGGAGACTTTGAGACCTTTGTTGATCATACGTTGCTTGAGGGTTACGTCGTCTTCTTTTGTGGGCTCGATGATCCCTTTCTCTAGAGGCCTTTCTTTGTGTTCTGTGTCCTTGTTTTCAGTCGTGTCCACTGTATAACCAATTGCATCCCATGCTGGGTTCTCTGTATTTTCATTTGTCTGTTCATGTGTATGAGTTAGTTTAGTATACATATATACAACTATGATGTGGAAATGATCATACAAAGCTCTATAACACTTAAACATAACTGAACAGTTTGAATACATGACATCTAGAGGGAGATGGAAGAGTTACCCAGGTGAAGTAGTAGAACAGGAAGATGGCTTTGATCATCATAAAAGCAATTCTTGCGAGAGGGTTATACCACTGCATGTTCCATTTCTGGAGAACTTTTTCCCTCTTCTCAAGCGAGATGTCAGTGAATTTGAGAAGACGGAGAGACCTATTCTTCTTATCAAGACAGACAAACCCACATAGCAGCAACGTTCCCAATCTGAATGTGAGTAGTCTCAAAACTATTCTCACCACTGTAACTGTTATTGGCATTGCCTTTGTCGCCATTACTTCTGCTACCTGTTTTATCAATGTATTGAAGTTAAGTGGTGTAGTTAAGATGCATTGTTTTCATCACTCTCTATCTATAGATAATCACTGTCCATCATCTTTACTTCAGTAGGTTTACTGGTGCTTATATTCATCTAGAGATTAAAGAATTAAGATGGGGTTAATGTTAGATAGAGAAACAGTTAAGCAAGAAAAGGAACCTCATCAGGTCTGACATGAGAGCCAGAAGACTTGAAGAAAGATAAGAGGGCATCATTGCGTAAAACTTTCAGCTTCATCTCAAGATCTAAGCTCTGTAATTGAACAGGAGGCATAATAGCCTCGCAGATGGCAGAGAGAGCCTGAAGGTCAGATTGTGAGAAGCCATGACTAAAACTTTCTTGTTTCATACTCCACCTCAACAACGGGTGCCCTCTCTTCTTGCCTCTTGTTCCACCTACCATATCTCTCCACTCTCTGCTTTCTGCATTCATATTTTTAAAGTTCTATATCTCTCTTCTTCCTCCTTTACACACACACATATATAGACATGTGAGGAGCTTTTTTTTTTAATCTCTGCGGAAACGTTGTTGGAAAATCTAAGGCGGTTCCTTTAGTGTTGGGTAATCAGAAAGAATAAGAGAAAAATAATTGAAAGAGGAAAGAGTTTGCCTTTTTTTAGATTTTAGTTTATCTTTTTGTAGTTTGCGTCTGTGCTGCATTGTATAAAAGAAACCACGATTCGGATTAAATGTATGTATTATAGTACGTATATGAATACGTAAGTGTCTCTTCAGGTGTGTGATGCAACAGGGGTCCACGTGACAACGGCTGCATTGTACATATGTTACAGGTGTTTTTTCGAGGTCACGAAAACTTAAACCAAAAACTTGTGATGCTTCCATTACCATATGTAGTCTTATACATATCAATACAGTTTCTTTTGTTTCAGGTGTGAAGAATTGTTGTAGAAACAATAAATGATCATGTGATGCTTCTGGATAGTTTTAACACTATTCATTTGAGAGCAGATGATAGAGATAAAAATATGCATATCGAGTAATGTTTTGTTCTTGTGACCCGGTCTTCAGTTTAGTATTTTAAATTCAAATTCAATTTTAAATCCGGATCTGCATGCATATTGTTAATTTTTTATTTTTACTTTCATGGTCACATCTTTTATTTTCTGCGTCATGGCTTACATCAATTTTTGTAGATAATATTACTCCTACGAAAAAAACGATCAAGGCTATGTTTGACGAAGTATATGATAATGAGAATCATTATTCATTACTCCTGATGTAAAGCGAAACATAACACAGAGCAGTTGTCAAAAAAAAAAAAAACATAACACAGAGCAAACGTCAATAACTATGGTAAACCTTTCTTTTGTCTAAATTTAGTATATAAGTCTTTTGCTTGTTTTTCTTATCACGATATGTACAGTGTTCTTTCAATATGGCAGAACATAGTCAAGATATGTATCCTAGTGTTTTGTAAATTTTACCTTCAATATGCTGGCTCCTTTTGTTTAATCGGCTCAAGCTCCTAAATTACTAAATTTGAGTGGTTTGTCTCTCTAAACAAAACAATCTAAATATGAAATCTATAGTTTATTTTTATCAGCTATTTTCCAGTAATTTATTTGTTTTTATTAACAACTGCTGATTCTCTTTACCGTTTACCAAATTAGGATTGCAATACAGAACAGACAATCAAATTAGCTTGGTAATTTAAATCTACTTTCAACTAAATGTCGTTCACTTGATTAGTTATTTGTTATTTTTTTCACCTTCATGTTATTAGTTAAATATCTGGAAACCAAAACCTTATTATTTTTAGCTCTCAACATTCTCTTCTTCCTTCTTGATTCAAATTTTTTATTTCCCAAGCGAAAGGCATATGTCCTAGAATCTTAATTCAAAATGCTTTCAAAGAAACTAAAAACAATCGCTCTTAATCGAGTCGAAATGAAAAATCACTTGATTTCTTTTCGATTTTGATTTCTTTTATCCTAACATTTTTCAGGAAAAAAAAATCTGAAATAACAAGCATACATAATAGCTTCTTCTTCATTCTTTTTCTTAGGAACTATATATATTGATCTGGTTTTGGCAATTTCGTTATATGTCAAATTACAAAATGAAGGGTCTTTTTAAGGGTCTTAGGTACATTTCACAAATCTTCGGTGAGTTATTTTACCTTTTGTGAATACTAATAGAATATCTTCTCTGAAATATATCCTTGTAATAAACTTTGTGAAATTGCATAATCCAGAAAACGAGAAAGAGCCAGAGATGCAAATTGGAACTCCAACAGATGTAAAGCATGTTGCACACATTGGTTGGGATGGAGGATCTGCTAATCAAAATTCACCCAGCTGGGTATTTACATATCTTTTTTTTTCCTCTATATTTAAAATAAATTTTGGTATAACAATGTAGCATCATTATAAAACAAAAATAAATAAACGCAGATGAATGATTTTAATGCATCGGGTGGATTTCCATCGTCGCCTCTAGGAAATATCAAGGAGGATGGCTCTTGCATTTCTGAAGGTAATTCTAATTAAATCTACTTGTAATTCATTTTAATAAATTCAATACTATAATATTTGGTAAAAACATTTTAACGTAGAGATGTTAACGTACATGCAGATTCAACTCGATCACGTGATATACCAAAACATCCAAAATCATCGAGAGACCGTACCAACAATTTGGAATCACCAGGAAAAGAACGATCACGACGTAGTTCGTCGAACACTAGTGGGAATCCAAAAACTTCGCGAAGATCAAAAGAATCTTCAAGTATCTCTCAAGATGGTTCTGTAAGATCACGTCGTAAAAAGTCTAAAGATTCCGTGAACGGTGGATCTACAAGATCGTCGCGGAGAGCACGTGATTCTCAGACAGAATCTATAAATGGTTCAATGTCTGATGGAGAGTCATTGATATCACTCTCATTTGAAGATCTTTAAGGACACGTAATGTAAAATTGTGGTCTCAAAGTATCATATACAGGCAGGCAGCTTTTGGTTTGGTTACTAGAGGAAATTCAAGCTTGCATGGTGATTATGATTTTGTCATTATATTATCAATCGAGGTGAGCAACTGAATCTGGATGTGGATTTCTGTTGAGTTATTATTATCACTGATCTCACAAGATATAAAATATATAATCATGATCATGATGTTTCAGAACAAATTTTACGCTATTTAAAAGGTTTACTTTTGCTTTTTAAGAGTTTAAATTTTGAATATTCGTGTATTAGTATAAAATCTTTAAGAGATGATGTACTAGAGAATACATGGTTTACCAATTTCGACCAATTTATGAGATGGATGGCTGATAAATCGTAGAACAGAGGATGTGAATCAAAATCTCAGCTCAGAAGTGATAACAAGGCTCGACTTAAAGGTAGTTCTGAGGATTGCCTCGTGAGGCTAAGGTAACTCCACAAAACAAGTAGTAAGGATCACTTAAAATTCGTTTTCTATTGCATCTACTACGAAAACTGCAGCTGCTAAAACGATGCCAAGAGAATAAAGAAGAAGAAGAAGACCTCTCTGTTCCTGCCTAATCAACACATATCACTCCCATTTTTCTTCTAAAACAACCAATCAAATATGAATTCATCCCTCATGGTCCACACTCCACAAAAATATTTACTCCTACATGTAAGAACTATAGATAGCACTAACCATATAACCATCACTTTACTATATAGATTACATACTATTTATTATATAGTAATCAAAGTCCATACGTTTTATTTACATACAAAAAAAACATACAACCATCAAATCATTATTTCACCACTTACCAAAAGACTTTCTAAATAACTCTTTTCACCATTCCAAAGAGTGGCTCCTGCTTAAAGACCTCGACGACAAAGCTGATGATGGTTTTCGTTTCTCATCATCAACAGGAATCAACTGTTCCATAAGACTCTTGTATCTCTCTTTAGTCTTCTCTTCAATCTCCTTCAAAAGCTGTTCGTTCTCTCGCTCTAGCTTCGCAGCCAAAGTCTCAAGCTCCACTTGATAAGCCTGTTTCCTCTCTCTCGACCTAGCAGCTGACTCACGGTTCTTTATCATCCTCTTCTGCCTCTGCGCCGCCGCTTTATCCATCGCCTCCACCATCATCACTCTCCCTCTCTTTCTCCTCGTTGATCCTTCCACCATCTCAACCTGATTGCCTTGCTCCTGAAGCATCATCGGATAATCGAATGAATAGCCATCTCCGGAGAGACCGCCGGAGAGACTCGCCGGAGGAATCTTAACATCAATTTCATCATCATTATCAATTTCTGCTGCTTTGGCTAAAAAGTCTTCAAGAGTCATCATATACTCTTCTTCTGCCTCTTCCTTCATTACCATCTTCTTCTCTCCCGACACAATCTCTTTCCAGACATCATCCACACTCTTCCTCCCACCTCCGTTAACGCTGTTCCTGTCTCCGTTACTCCGATCAATCGAATCAGAGGCCAAACCGTAATCGTGTAACGTCCCCTCGTTCCCTCCTCCGTAACCGAAACTGATTCTCGAGTGATGATCGGTGTTAAGATCTCGTCGGAGATGGTTGGATCTTACGGAGGGAGAAGACGAAGCAGAGGAGGAATTACGGCGAGAGAGATCGGAGTTTCTGGATGTGGAAGAAGACATCATCTTAAAAGATGCCATCTATCTCTGTTGATCGGAATTAGTTTCTCGTTAGGAAAATTGCGAGATAATCGGAGATTGGTTTGTGGATTTTTTTTGTTTTTCGGACAAGAAGAGAGAGATGAAAGTGAAGAGATCTTTCTAGGGTTATGTTTTTTATTTTATCTCGTGATGTGTTGTAACACGCGCTTTAACGAAAGAGGAGAAAAAAAACATTGGCTCCGATTGGTAACCATCGCGTAATCGCGGAAATAATAGTTAAGTTGCGGAAAAAATTAATTAGTCGTGGAAAAATTTAAAATTTGCGGAATGGCGGAATATATATTAAATTGATTAAAATGTTTTATATGGTTTTTAATTTGTTATAAAAAACAACTAGTAATAATTAAACTAATTATTACAAAATTGAAAACAACTAAAATTTATTAAAAACATTTTAGTTTTTATTATAAATATCTAACATATCTTTCAATACATTTTAAAAATAGATTTTTTTTAATATATAAATTATAATAGAACTTTATTTACAATATAATTATTTATCATTAAAAATTATTGATATGTATTTTATATTTTAAGATAGTATTAGCATATAATTTAATAATATGAAAATATTAGTTTGTAAATCTTTCTACCATAATCTACTAAAACTCACTTTTCCACTTAATAAAATTTCTCTTTATATTTTTGTCAGCAAAAACGCAAACTTGCGTTTTCGCGTTTTTTTTTCATTCCGCAACATTTTGTTGATTGGCAAAATTCTTGTGGAATCGCGTTTCATAAGCCATTCCGCCATTCCGCATGGTTACCAATCAATGCCATTATAACGAACCACGCGTGCATAAACGCGTGAGCTGCATTATGTAAATGTTTTTTTTAATGTAACGTGTAGCGACAAAAACTTGCTTACCTGTAGATGAGTAATAAAGCCACTAAACAAAGTTCAGGCCTTTGAGGCCCAATAAAATGTTATTGGGCTTAAATAGCGAGAGAATTTTCGCGGTGGAGTTAAATTTCACATATATTTTCTCGTTGACCCAAGTTAACAATAAACCGCGTATATATAATTACGTAATCGATAAGATAAGAAATTTTTTAACTACCTCCAAAAATTTGGTGCGATCAGATAGATCCTTTTGACACGTAGAAGCCAAAGTCTTTCGGTCTCCTCCGTGTTTGTGAAGCTTTCAGACAACCTTCGAGTTCGATCTCCAATTTTTTTTTTGTCGGATTTAAAATACAGAGGAAAGAAGGAAGGAGATAGAAACATGAACATCTTCTCCAAGAAACCTAATCCCAGAGGTTTGGTTTGATTCTCAAATTTATAAAGTAAATTAGGTTTAATATTTATCCGATTGATTAATCCTAAATTGAATGTGATCATCTGGAATTGTTAAAGGTTGTTGACTTTATCTGTAATTTCATGACATGTCGTGATCGTGATCATATTGTTAATGCCAGTTTTTGTAATATCCTATTATGAGATGACATTAATGGAATTTGATGAATCTTAGAATCTGAATGTAACTTTTTTTGGGTGGAATTTGCAGAAGTGCTTAGGGAGAGTAAGAGAGAGATGACTCAAGCTACAAGAGGTATTCTTCTTGTTGTGTTTCATTGGATATAGCTCAAGTTTGAATAATCTATGTACATAAACTGATGAAAGTTTACCTCTTTCTGTGTTGTCTGCTTCAGGAATCGAAAAGGAAATCTCATCTCTGCAATCAGAAGTAAATGTTTTAACATTCAGTTTTTCTTTCTTCTCATTGGACAAACTCTGACATATGTTTTCTTTCATGTACTGATAAAATAGGAGAAAAAGCTCGTTCTTGAGATAAAAAGAACTGCTAAAACAGGGAATGAGGTCGGTTTCCTTTCTACTTTTGGAAATTTCTATCTGTGATTGTTGCATCTAGTTTTGATGTGTTCTTCTACATCTTTTTTTTGGTCTTTGTTAAGGGAGCGACTAAGACTCTTGCCAGGCAATTGATCCGGCTAAGGCAGCAAATATCTAACTTACAAGGTAGCCGAGCTCAATTGCGAGGCATAGCTACTCATACACAGGTTTTCTGATTCAAACTTCTCTCCTTTCATTCTAATAATATGTTTAAATCTGAGAAGATCATAAGCTTGTTCTATATTGAGTATTGAAAACTTTGACCTTGGTTTATTAAGGCTATGCATGCACACACTTCAGTGGCTGCAGGAATACAAGGGGCCACTAAGGCAATGGCTGCTATGAGCAAGGTCTGATTCCTGTTTTAATATATATCTTCCGATTTGTTGTTTTTAGAACTTGAACATACAATCTAACTAAGATGTTTTCTGATGTTTTTTAATCAGAATATGGATCCAGCTAAACAAGCTAAGGTTATGAGAGAATTCCAAAAGCAGTCTGCGCAAATGGACATGACTGTAAGTTGTAACAATCCCATCTTTTGTGTAACTTCATGACACACTCAAAATTGGTTAATTCTAACTAATAATGCATATGGTGTTCAGACTGAGATGATGTCAGACTCCATAGATGATGCTTTAGACAATGACGAAGCTGAAGACGAAACAGAGGACTTGACTAACCAGGTATTATTACAATACCAGCATTTAAATTTCTTAAAATATCCGACTGTTTCAAAGGTTTATTAACGAGGTTTTTTTGTGTTTTACTTGTTAGGTTCTTGATGAAATCGGCATTGATGTAGCGTCACAGGTTTGTTTGAAAACATCTTGTTCATTGGTTCCTTGTCTTGATAGCATCACTGTGATGATTGATTGATTCTCTGGTTTGATCCACGTGCAGTTATCATCTGCTCCAAAAGGTAAAATTGGTAGAAAGAATGCAGAAGATGTCAGCAGCAGGTATAGTATCTATCCACTATAATAACAAACACATCATCTGTGATTTTATCAAAGCATCGAAGTCAAACCGTCTGATTATTTCTGCGCAGTTCTGAAATGGATGATCTGGAGAAGCGGTTGGCTGCGCTTAGATAGAAAGAAACAAGTGCCTTGAGCTTGAAGAAGAAGAAGAAGACGCTTATATACATTTCATTTAATGTGTCTTCTACATCTTTATTGTTGACTATATATGTTTTTGAACCTTTTTGTTTCCTCTGCAATGAACAAAATCTCTTTGCTTCTGTTTTCTTCAAACAGTTTATTCTGCGCGCCAAGAAGTTTGATCCGATTGGTTGGTTCTATAATTCTATTAAAGCTTTTAGTAATATATCATTGTCCCTTTGTGTAAAAATTCCAACTAAAATAACAGTAGAGTTCTTGCTTATAACAACAATCTCATAATAAGAGAGAGATAGAGAGAACACTGGCCATTTCTGAGCTATTTCGGACTACTCTACATGCACCATATATTAAAGTACAAATGCATAGTTTTAATATCAAAAACGTCTTTGGTCTATGACTGCTTTGCTTTCACAAACAACTATCGTGCGCCATAAACCGTTTGATTCGTATTAAAGCTTAGAAACACAAAAGAAATAAAATCTTGTTCATAATTGTTTTTTTTACAAAAATCAAGGTTGTTATACAAATAAAAAAGGATAAAATTATGTTAGATAATAAATAAAAATATAAGAAACAATATGTCAAAAAAAGGAAATACATAACAATAAGATAAGGCGATCGAGTTAATAAAACTATCAAGATAAGTGATTTTCCACAATCTACATAAAACATTTACATAGTAGGAATTGGATACGATATTACAATATCTGATATGATGAAAATTTTCAAATAATATTTACTTTTTTAAAAAAAATCGATATAAAAAAAATGGAAAGTGCATGTATTATATATACGCATTCACCTCTCACTGAAAAACGCATCAAACTCTCAGCAAAAGAAAATAGAAGCAAAGAAGCAGCAGATTGAGATTCCAAGTAGAGAAAGAACACTTTCTTTGTTCGTTCTTATTGTCATGGTTACTATGCGTACTTATCCGCCTGGTTCACGCTTTCTTCCAACGGAGTTGGGGTTGGTGAAGGTTCATCTTAAGCTCAAGGTGGACAAGAACATTAGCGGTTTCATCAAAACGTTGAACGTCTACGGAGACGCGCCGTGGCGTCTTGAGCACGACACGAACCATCTCTATCCTAGAAACGAGTGGTACTATTTTGTTCCGAGGATAATAAGAGGTAAAAAGACGGTGAGCAGGATCGTACCAAGTAACGGAGAATGCTTAGGAGGCACGTGGAAGTCGATAGGAAAGAAACAAGAAGTAAAGAACAGGCAAGATGTGTTGATGGGTTACAAGAACGAGCTAGTGTTCAACAAGAACGTAGTGGTGGATGGAAAGTCGAAGCAGGAGAAGACTGATTGGCACATGGATGAGTATTCCCTTAACAGGGAGAGTGGAGAGTTCCATGATCTGATCTTGTGTCATATCAGATTGCTGCATAGTGCCGAGAGATTCAAGATTCTAGCTCATCATCAGGTGGTTGAGAACGACAACAACAACGTCTTACAGAACCAAGATCAACAAGAAGAAGCTGTTGGTTTTGCTAATCATAATGATATGACGATGGTAGAGACCAATCAACTACAACAACAGCAACAACAAGAACAAGAGCAGATTTTTAACCAAGGCAACGGTGTCAATCAACAACAAGAGCAACAAGATTCACTTATTCCTGTGCAGATCAACAACAACAACATCGAGCAACAGTGTCCGTTTGCTTATCAAGTCGCAGAGGAGGGTGATATGACTAGTGGCTATGATGGACTCAGGCAGATGTTTAACCAACGCAACGGCGTCAATCAACAACAACAACATGAGCAGCAACAAGATTCACTTATTCCTTTGCAGAACAACAACAACAACAACATAGAACAACAGTTTCCGTATGCTTATCATGGCACAGAGGATGATATGACTACTGGCTATGATGGACTCGAGCAGATGTTTAACCAAGGCAACGGTGTCAATCAACAACAATATTCAGCGGCTCTTCCTTTGCAGACCAACAACAACAACATAGAACAACAGGGTCCGTTTGCTTACCATGGCGCAGAGGAGGGTAATATGACTAGTGGCTATTATGGACTCATGGAGATTTTTAACCAACGCAACGTAGTCAATCAACAACAGCAACATGAGCAGCAACAAGATTCAACGGATCTTCCTTTGCAGACCAACTTCAACCAATTACCTATTTCATTGGATACTCGTCTTGTCCCATCTCAGCTGGAGAACCACAACAACATCATCTTACCGAACCAAGAGCAAAAAGAAGAAGCTGGTTTTGCTAATCAACAACAGCAACAAGAGCAAGAAGATTCACTTATTGCTTTTGATGATATGATTGACGTTGAAGAACTCTTGAAAGATTTGAACCAAGGGATAGAGCTACAAGGTATTGCTTTTGATGATACGATTGACGTTGATGAACTCTTGAAAGATCTAGAAGATTCACCCCTTCCTCCTCTTCAAAGCAACGACAACCATGGACTGTCTCCTCAGCTGGAGAACCACAACAACAACACCCTCTTACCGAACCAAGAGCAAAAACAAGAAGCTGGTTTTGCTAATCAACAACAACATGAGCAACAGAAACAAGAGAGCAACGAGAACCAAGAAGATATTGCTTTTGATGATATGATTGACGTTGATGAACTCTTGAAAGATCTAGAAGATTCACTCCTTCCTCCTCTTCAAAGCAACGAAAACCATGGACTGTCTTCTCAGCTGGAGAACCACAACAACAACATCTTACCGAACCAAGAGCAAAAACAAGAAGCTGGTTTTGCTAATCAACAACAACATGAGCAACAAGAACAAAAGCGAGAAGATTCACTTACTGAACTCTGGAAAATTCTGAATGGAGACGACGACGACGACGACGTCAACGACGACAATGGACTGGTAGAGAAATAACTTGGCGACGTCAAACAAGAAGAAGAAGACTATCCCTCATGGAAACTACAGAAACTTGCTATTTATATTGAAACTTTGAACTTGTTCTTTTAGTATTTTGAATCAACTTTGTTTTGTCTTTTTAATATTAAGATGGCTTTGTTTCTTACGTCTAAATGGTGATGATTTGTGTTTGTATCAAAATATCAATTTTTGATATTATTTATAAGAATATTGATTTATTTCTAACGTCTAGTTAAAGAACGATCAAAGTAGGGAGTAGTGTATAGAGTTGAGTTCTATGTGATAAAGAGGTAGAGCAAGAACAGAGAGAAATCATATCAATCATGCTCCTATTTAACTTTCTGTGAACAATCCAGTCCCATCATTACTCAAAGAAAGCATATCAATCATGCTTCTATTTACAATGAATAAAGACAAAACTCTTCTTTTCATCAAAACTTAAAACCAAACATTGAGAGCAGTTGCATCTCTCTTGAAGAGCACCGTTCCATCCACCACTCTTCCTCTCATTAACATTCGCTCACATTGTCCATAGTGTCAGACAATCACTCTCCTAACATTGATTTCCCTACGAAAAAAACAGTAGATAAGATTATGTTTATCAGTCTCTTAAGACAGCAAAGCAGGTTTGAGAAGTTTCAGAGCAGACATCAAAACTATTGTGTATCATTCTCTCTCAGAGAACAATGTAGAGTTCTTGTTTAACTCCAGTCTCAGAATTAGAAAGAGACGAAGCTGATGAGAACACTGACAATTTATGAGTTTTTCCAGACACAAACACCATGAAAAAGTGCAAGTGTATAGTTAAAACTCAAAAGTAAAAACCAAAAAGGATGAGTATTAATGAAAAGTCTCAGTAAAATCCATTGAATTCAAAGAAATTGCAGCTTATGCCAAGGGGTTCTCCCTGAAAAAACAGGGTCTCGGCTCCACTTCACCTCATAGAATTGGATTAGATCCTCATCGACATTCCAAATTTCCAAAAAAAAAAAAAAATGTAAGAAGATCAAACATATCAACAAATCAATCAATAGTAAAACCAAAATGATGATAATTAAATAAGAGTCTCAGTAAAATCCATTAAGTTCAAGGAAGTTGCAGCTTATGCCGAGGGGTTCTCCCTGAAAAAACAGGGTCTCGGGTCCACTACACCTCATTCAATTGGATTAGGTCCTCATCAACATTCCCAAGTATATATAAGAAAAACAATATAATATCGAGACAAGAAGGAAACTAAGATCCAATTGGCTCAGACAATAAGAACATGTTTTTCAATCAAGGATTGTCTGAAGCAGAACTGGAGAATCAAGCTGTAATAAATTTACTCATCACTGCAGGAAAAACAATACTCTGAAAGCTGAGAAATCAATAACATGAAGAAGAAAGTTTGGCTCATATTAAAAAATTCAACCATGTATTTTACCGTATGTGCTTCATAGAATTCAATCTCAGAAGCGCGGGTAAGTTTATAATCACTGCCAAATGCCAATATGAAAACACAAAGCCTAAGTAGAATCTATTAACAATCACAACTAGTTTCAATACAAATCCGAATGAGAGAGATTTAGCCGCTTTTTTGACACAGGAAAGCCTATAGAATCAAGGCAAATCTGCAACACAAACGGCAACACACAATCTAGCAGGAACTTTGGGGCTTACTTCCTCAAGTTTTTGTATTCAGATTAGCCCGGGAGGCTCCTGCGTAACCATATAAGCCAGCTAATGATCAAACACAAAACATCATTGCGAAAATAGATGATGTACTATGCAACAAGGTACCTAGTAAAGTTTAATACAGTGTTGCATTGCATAGTGATTATATATGTTCACTCTTACTCATCCAAGAACTTCAATGCTGACAGCAAAAGACAAATGTAGTGTTCTTGTTTAACTCGAGTCACATAAAATAGAAATAGACCAAGCTGATGAGAACACTGACAATTTATGAGTTTTTTCAGACTACAAGCACCATAAGCAAGCGCAAGTGTATAGTTTAAAACTCAGGAAGTTATCAACAAGTTTATCAATTAAACAAGTTTTCGTATAGTCAAATAAAACCAAAAAGGATGATTATCAATGGAAAGTCTCAGTACAATCCATTGAATTCAAAGAAATTGCAGCTTCTGCCAAGGGGTTCTCCCTGAAAACAGGGTCTCGGCTCCACTGCACCTCATAGAATCGGATTACATCCTCATCGACATTCCCAATTTTGTTAAATACAGTATTTTAAAAGAGACAAAGACCTAAGAGACAGAGAGACAAAACAGGCTCAGACAATGAAAACAGCTTTTTCAATCAAGAATTATCTGAACGGCGTATCAAGATGTTGTGAAATTAGACATCACTACCAAAAACAGATACTTTGAAATAAATAAAAAATGAACAAGAACGTTTGGCTCATATTAAGAAATTCAACCATGATTTTACTGTATATGCTTCACTGAAATCAATCTCAGAAGCGCGGGTAAGTTTATAATCACTGCCACTTCTAAGTAGATGCAATCAACAACCACAACTAATTTAAATGCAAATCCAAAAGAGAGATTTAGCCGCTTTTTTGACACAGGAAAGCCTAGAGAACAAAGGCAAACCTGCAACACAAACGGCAATACACAATCTAGCAGGAGCTTTGGGGCTTACTTCTTCAAGTTTTTGTATTCAGATTAGCCCGGGAGGCTCCTGCAAAACCATATGAAAATAAAACCATAGACAGTAGAACAAAATGGATAATTGCAAGAGACATAGAAGAGATGTTTGAAAAAGGAGGTTCAAGCCTCTGTTATATAGTTCACTGTCGCTTGTCAAAAACCCTAATGACTATGCCAAAAGTCTAAATTACCCCCACTTAGCTGACTAACCGGCCCGGCCAGGCCAGTCTGGCTCATGTTCACTTGCTAATAGTCAAAGCCTTAAAAGATGTGTAGTGACTTATACGCTTTACGCTTTTATTTATAAGGAGGATATCATTCCCATAGAGCAAAATAATACCTCAGTGAACTTTACACAAACCTTAAAATTTTAAGATGTGTAGTGACTTACAAAAATTAGTGAACACTAGTACGTCAATCTTTGAACAAACACCAACTACTACCAGGTGAAACCTTTACAGAACAAGCTGATATTAGATTTTTATGAATGAATCTGTTTTATTAAAGCCCCAATGACTCAACAAAGCTGATACTAGAGCAAGAATGGTAATCAAACTAAGCTCAATCATCTTCCTATAGAATTCAATTGCCTTAAATTAAGACTCAACTCTCTACTCACTAAACCCTTTATGATAGCATTAAAAGAAGACTCATTGCCTCATACAACTCCACCTCTTCCCTGATCTTCCCATAATGTGGGTAATGTGATATCATTGCGTTCTACACAACCGCATTCCTCTGAGAAATTTCGTCGAACAGTTTGTGAGCGTGAGAAACAGATACGCATTTACAGCACACATTAAGTTACACGCATCCAAGAGACTGAGAGCTTGTTCATGGTTTCCTTGGTTCGCGTAAGAGCTCAACTGTTTAGTTAGAGAGATCAGTTTAGTTCAGCTCGAAGCGTACGAGGAGGACATGCGGAGATGGACTTGCCTCACGTAACGCCATTAACGACGTAACTTGGCTTATTGAGACATAACAGTTTAATTAATATTTGTTTATATTGTTTAAATGCAACTCACAACTAAGTCGTTGTAGTATAGTGGTAAGTATTCCCGCCTGTCACGCGGGTGACCCGGGTTCGATCCCCGGCAACGGCGCATTTTTTTTCTTTTCCTTTGTTAAAAGCTTAATGGGCTTGTTCTTGGAGCCCAATATTAACGCCACTTCACTTAGCTTAGAAAAGCTCAATAAGAAGAGTACACTATTCTACTTCTACACTTCCTTGATTCATTGAACATCATTCTATAACCAAAATTTATAATCAAACAAAAAAGTAATATACAACATGACATTTTGCATGATCATTAGATAACCTCAAACATTCAAGAACATTGTTTACTCCTATATTCCTCTGAAGTCAACATTTGAACAAGCTCCTGCAACCTCACAGCACCAGGTCCTGGTCTCAAAACCGAGTCATCCCCTTGCACAGAGCACGGATCACTCCCATTACTCGACCTCCCAACACACCATCCTCCCGGTGAGAACCTCTGTGTCCTCCCCAACAACTCTCTATCAATCTTGTCCAACACAGGATCGTTCTTGTGGAACTTACGCGCAAACGGAGCTTTGCTCTTTACCATGTTATCAAAATCTTTCAAGGAGAGAGAGACAGGATGCTGCTTTGGTGGATTGTCCCAAGCAATGTAGTGAAGGTCGTGTCCTATCGCAGTGTTGACAAACTCTTTGCTGTTGCAGATCACTGTGTGGAAGTAACCTTCAGGTGATGACACGAAGTTTGTGTAGTACATTAGTATCGTTCTAGGGAAGTTATCCCATCCCCAGATGCAATACTCGAGGAAAGACCGTGTCAGCATTATCCAAGCTGAGCCTGTGAATAGCTTGAAAGAAGTTGGAAGTGAACGTCTCTGAGTAGTCCAAGCTAAGTCAGATTTTTTAGATAGGTACAAGCCAGGGTCAACTATGATTGACTTAGCTCTCTGATTCCTGCAACAAAGAGACAAGTCTTAAACACACACTTATATAAACCAAAAATAGTTTGTTTCTATGGTTTATATACTTACAGTTTCCAACCAGTGAGCTGCATATTCTCAATGAAATTAACACTCCGCGACATGTTCGAGAAGACATACAACAAATCTACACAAAACTTGTATAAGACAAAAGCTAACATGATAAAAGAGTAAGTAACATTCATTCAATGACTAACCATCTTGTGTAACGAGAGGATAATCCGAGGCACTAAGATTAATAAACCAATCCCAATGTAAGCTCTCTCTAAGCAAAATCGCAACGGCTTGAAGAGTACAAGCAATCATTGTAGGACCTTTATAAGTAACAAGATTAGACTGAGACATCACCCTAACATTCTCCATTACACTGAAAATAGGATCACTCTTCACAGACAAAGCTAGCTCCATCCGTTCTTTAGGTGGAGCCTCGAGATCCAAATGCAGAACATACTGGTTTCTAGGATGGTACACAGCTTGCAAAGTCCTCATCATCCTATGACTATCTCCTTTAGTTCCCGAGATAAGATAAGCTAACCTAGGAACAAGCTCTGGATTAACATTGGTCTTTGAATTTATGAAACTTGATTCTACAAAGTAGTCATCATTAGACTCTGAGACAACATGTTCTGATGGTAAAGGAGCTTCTTCTTCTCCGAATTGGCCGGAGAGGGAGAGCATGAGGAGAGTAATGGAGATGATGAAAGTTGCTAGGAAAGGGAACATCCATCTTCTGTCGCTGAAAGACCTAAAACCTGAATGTGAGCTCACTTGTCTCTTCACTCTGGTGAATGGGTCTTTGAATGAAGCCAGCTTCCTATACAGTTTTCTCATTCCCTAAGAAACCTCAATTCAGATAGGACCAGAGAGGAGATCGGAGTTTCTCTGTAGGATACTAAAACAGCATCAAAAGCCCCAATCTTTTGTTTCTACAAAGAATACCCTTCTCGAGAACTCACACCAAGAAGAGATTTGCTTTAGACTTGAGGATTGAAAAGAGAGGAATCTGGAAAAGATAAAAGAACATTCATTATCGAAACTAGTAACCGAAAGAGATGGACTTTTTGGGCATGCAGACAATGGGAAAAAAAAGAGAAAATGTTTTTTGTATAAAGCTGAGTCAGATCCAATCCAAAGTAGGAGAGACTTCAAGTTTAAGTCTTGAATTTACCTTAAAGAAACAAGACACGTCTTCCTGAAAGAGACAGGCGCTAAAGCAGAAAATCAACGCAGCAGAAAGTGTCAAGATAAGAAGAGTTTAAACTCCTGATTGCAATAAACTCAGTTTCAGAAGTGGGCAGAGAGAAGAAGAGAATTTAAAAAAAAAAAAAATCAATCCTTTACGGACAGGACAATACTTGGGGAGAAATGAAATTGTTTTAAGAATCAAAGCTGTCTGAAAGAGATAATAATGTGAAGTCGACGCGCCGAAAGGAGAGACAGGGAGGTACAGACATGGCAATTAATTTTTTTTTTAAAAACAAAAACATTATCGATGCGTAAGCTTTTAATCAAAATCAGTAGAGAAATTAATGATGGTGGACCACTCACACCGTCGTACACGTGGCATTAGCAGCGTATTAAACGAACGCGTTAAAGATATAAGTAACGAAATTAACGGCGAGAGAAAAACACTGTTCTGTTCCTGCTTCTTTCAAACTCATAAAAAGCTGGACTAATGACTGACTTTTGTTGTACAAGGTTTTGAATTTACTGTTAGCAAACAGAGAATGTGTGGAAAAGAAAAAGATCATTCAATCATAGCTGAGTTGTTTTTAACATACCAAACAAAACTGGCATACAAAACTAAATTTAAAAACATTGCTTTTTGACACATCATAATGCTTCTTCACACAAAAACAGTCTTCATCCAGACTGTTGCCGCCCACGACCTCGTCCACGTCCAGACCTACCACGACCCCTACCTCTACCCCTGCCACGACCACCACGGTGGCCCCTTCCCCTTTCAGAAAACTGCCCGTTGCTAAACCCTTGAGACTCTTGTTGTTGCACTGGGGACTCCGGGTTACTTGGTGAGTGATGCTGGACTTGGGACTGTGGACGTATCTCAGACTGTGGTTGCATCTGGAACTGTGGGTTCATTGGAGACGGTGGCCTGTTGTTGTTCAGCATCTGGTATGGCGGGTTCATTGGGTTGGGTGGGCGAGTCTGGAACTGCGGTTGCATTTGGAACTGTGGTCGCTGCATTTGAAAACCTTGAGAAGCAAACATATTGAAATTCAGATCATTAGGTAACTGGGGATGCTGAATACCCCTTCCCATCCCACCAAACTGTTGTGGGTTGAAACAGTTCTGACCAACTAATGCAGGCCATGGAGCTGAGCCCTGTCCTGGAAAAAAGTTCAAACCACCAGGTCCACCAGGCATTGGCATCTGACCACCATTGAACTGTGGTGGGAACATCATTTGATTCTGATTTTGCATTCCCATCAAAGGCATCTGCATTGGACCTAGATTAGGCATTCCCATCTGATTAGGCATAGGAGGAAGCTGGTATGGGTTCTGCTGATTACTCTGGGGAGGTCTCCATGCTCCATTGTTTGGAGGAAAACCATCCATCTGAGGAGGTCTTGCCTGATGATTAGAAACTGGACCACCCATTTGATGAGGATCAGAACGGTTTGAGGATCCATTGTTCTCTGTCCATTCCCCTGAGTAGTTCCCTGTAGGCCTTCCCTGATCTCTGTTTTTCTTCTTTTTGTTTCTTCCGTTACCAGCTTTTTGATCATTCATCATCCCTCTCTTTTCCATCTTCTGCAACCTTCTGTACTCAGCTTCTTTCTCATCATCAGAGAACTCAAGCTCGTCTGGTATCTCCTCGTCGTTATCTCCAGACGCATCGTAACCTTTCTTCTGCAGCTCCTTGATATTGAGAATATGCTGAGCGAAATCAGCGACGAATGAAACAGGTGTGCCTTGAGTAACACCCTCTGGTACTTCGCTCTCTGAGTTGAACCTCACAATATAGTAAGGGCACTTCACAGGTCCAAAAATCTCATCCACAAGTCCCAATGGAGTTCTTTTTCCCGTTATCCATAGGATAGAGCCTTCAGTCAAAGGACTATGCTGTTCCATTCCCTCCACTATGACTTGTGCGCCCATCACCTGAAATATAGATTATATTAACCAGCAAATTCCAAAGAGATTAAACAGAGAAGCATATAGAATACAGGCAGAGGCTATGTTGATGATACCGAAAGAACAACTCCAACAGGAAGCGTGACATGATGAGGTTCGAGAGAGACATCCACAGCTGGAACTGGAGGAAGTTCCTGCAAAAAAATTAAAAACAGAAAAGAAAATTTCATAATCTACTCAACACAAAGAAGACTTCTATGCTTAAAAGAGATATGTCAAATAGTCACTAGCTAACGGTATATAGTTTTGTTGCAAATTCTAACCAGTACTCTACAATATAGTGGATGGCACTTATTACTACTCTATATATATAATAGATCACAACTCTTTCCAGTTAGACATTAACAAGATCAACCGTTAATAGCTAGGATTACGATATGCAAATCAGAAGCATAGGGGTACCTTGAGCTCATTCTTTGACCTTATAGGGTCTTTTGTTTGCAAACCAAGCTCATCATCCTCATCGTTGCTCCAAGCAATCATCTCATTCACTTCATCATCGTCATCATCACTATCATCATCATCATCATCTTCAACCTCATCTGCACTCTCTATCTCGCCCTCTTCAAGTTCTCCTCCCACTCCATCCTCTTTCACAATAACCATCTCATCTTCACACTTCTCTTCGTCACTCTCCTCCTCATCACTCTCTTCTTCACTGCTACTATTACCACTACTGCTAGATGAAGAAGAGCTCGAGTCTTCGCTCTCAGACTCAGCAACACTAATACTTTTCCCCTTCTCATCATCACCCACGCTCAAACTAACCTTCTCCAACCCTACTTCAATACAAGAAGCCAAACTCACATCTTCTTTCTTCAGCTCTGACTCATCCAGCTTCAAGATGGGACACTCAACAGACGCAGACACATCTTCCATTGGCTTAGAGCTGTCAGAAACATCAGTATCTGCCACGTCATCACAAACCTTGGTCTCTGCCTCAATCACCGAGTTAGCCTTAACATCAGGCTTCACCTCAAACATAGTTTCAGACAGAACAGTACTCTGATTCTCCTCGCCGACAGTAACACCACCTCCTTGTCCGATCTCCATCTCGTCCTCAAAAAAATCAAAGTCGGTATCTTTAACGCCAAACTCCTCAATACTCGGAGTATTCCCAAACCAGTTGCAGGAATCGAAGTCAAGATAGGTATCGATGGAAGGGAAATCAACAGCGTCCTTGAAAGTTCTGACCTTGGAGTCTTGATTGATTGGTAGAACTTCTTCTTCTTCTTCTTCTTCTTCTTCTTTAATAGGTTTAGCTGCGGGAAAACCAACCATGGCAAGAAGGGTAGGAAGAGAGAGCGAGAAGAGGAGAGTGAAAGAACATGACTTTCGAATTTATAAGCGGCGGCTAAGTTATAAAGGTAGCGACTTTGGGTTAAAAAGGCCTGAGGGTTTATCGCAGGTTTCGTTAGGGTTTTAAGAGCAAGACTCTGTTTTGTTTTTGTGTGAGTGTGTGTGTGTGTGTGCTACTACTGCCAACTAGGGTTTCTGTCTCCCTTTCCTCCCTTTTTATTTTTTTGGTATACACTTTTTTTAAGTTAATAATATATAGTTGCATAGTGTCAGACACTTCATGCTATCTACATATGTTATATAATTGTTTTCTTTGGTTATGTGCGTTATGAGTTATGTGTTTCTAAGTAACATGTATAAGTTGCTACATGAGTTATATGTGCTTCTAAAGTAACATGTACAAGTCACCATGGTAATACACTCAAGGTTCATAGGTTAATGGTAACAAGAGGAGTAGTAGCAAAGACTATTAGTCAGAGCTGGATTGATGCTCATTAGAAAGCTATATATAAAGGTTCTCATCCCAATAGAGATTTTGCTTTTATCATTCATGTAGAAATGTTTTTTTGACAATTAAACCACAGAGTTTTGGCTTTGAGGTCTCTGTGTATTTGATTTAGTCTTTTACAAAGTAATTCAAACAAACAAACAAAATTGCTAGTCTAGGCTTTGCAGAGAGAAGGGGTTTGTGTCAAATCTTGTTTGGAGGATTCAAGATTTGACCTCAAGCCACCATTGATACATTTTTTTCCAGTGAAGAGTGTTGTTGGCTTCATAGTGCACGCACCATCGAGTTTGTAGCTTCGCGTTTCATCTGTGCAGCTTTGCCACTCCCTCGGAAGTATGAATATACTTGCTGAATCACCCATATATTGAGTAGTGTTTCGATGCAGAAGAAGCCCGCTCCAATGAAATACAATATCTGTCATGGAGAAGCTGGGTTGGTAAAGAGTGTCGCAAGCCTAAGTTTAGGTACTTGTAAAACGAGCAGAAGTAATACTTACCCCGACCACAACATTAGTACTTAGAAACTCAAGTGCTGGCAAGAAACCTCTGTTCACAAAACCAAACAACAATACATGGAATCAGAAGGACTTCCTCATAGGCTCTAAAGGTCTTATCATAAGATAATTGAGTAAAGAAGAAAACTCTTACGTTAGGGACATTCCTCGAAAGATGACAGGTGGAGCAACTGCAGCAAAGCCGCAGAATGCAATGTGAAACTGAAATGTTCACGACAAGTGTTTAAACAACGAATGAACTCTGATGCAGAGGAAAGAAATCTACAAATGGGGATAATGTTACCATGTAAAACAAGAAGAAAGTTCCAAACTTAAGGGCACTATCAGTTCTGCATATGTACATGGACACATTGTGTTATTGACTCATTTAATATCTTACAGCATATACTTATGGAGATGGTCTTTACCTTGTAGCTCGGTAAAGAGGACGATACCATAAGACGTAAGCCCCAGGGACTCCAGAGATGAAGTAGATGATTGAGAGAAGCCATATAGTGGGGCCTGATTGCATCAGAATCAGATAAATGAACATGATCAGTGGAAATAACAAACTGTATATGATCATTTGGGTAAAAAACTGTAACCTCCTCCATAGATCCAAGCTACAGTTACTGCCACAATATTCCACAAGAGGCATGCTATCAATCCTGTATAGTTCAATAGTTTTAGTCTGTTAAACTTTTGTCTAGACTTTATCTAAGGTGGCCTTTGCGTTACCTAACAATGTGGCGAATGCGACATATTGGGTCTTCTGTAAGTGAATAGGAATCTCGTTAGGAATGTCATGATGAATTAGAGGGAAAAACACTGGCCAGTTCTTCTCCTCAATGACAACTCCACCTGCCAAAAACAACCCCTATCAGATTAGCTACAAATAATACCACTGAATAAATATCACCAGAAGATATAGAATACTGTGTACTTCGGGCTATTGCATCTTCTCTTCTTTTAAGCTCCTGCATTATGACAAGAAGAAGAAGAAGAAGACTGATCAATAAAGTTCACATGGAAACTGTAGATGGCCAAGATTTACCTGCTCTTTCCGGTTCAGTTCGTTCTCCTTAGCCTGAAGTTCCATTTCTTTAGCTCGACGATCCTTCAAACAGAAACCAGGTTTTGAGCAAGCATTGAAAGTGCAAAATGCAGAAAGTATATTGTAGACATTGTACCTGGCTGGAATCCAAAGGGATATCGATACTTGCACCACGATCATGAGGTTCCGGTGGAAGCGGCTTGAGATGAGAGTTGCTTCCAGAAGAAACATTTGTATTATTCTAAAACATTAGAGAACCAAACGGGTAAGAATTACAGAAAGGTAAGTAACTGATTCTTGAGTGCAAGAAACAGAGCTCTTTACCGCAAAAGGGTTGATCTCTTCATCAGCAAATGGATTAGGTTCTTGTCGTGCCATTTCTTAGATCGTTTTTTTTTTGTAAGATCAAGAAGGAGTTTGGAGGTCGTGGGATGTTGACAGAAATCAAGAATGAAGTGAGAATGGTTTCAACGAAAGGGACACTATGTAGTCACAGAGAGAACAAAACTAGTGGCCACTTGTACGAAGCAGAGAACTTCAAGGCATTTTAAAGGGTGCTCTCTTCGTTTTGTGTGTTTCAACACCTATTCAACAGGAAAATTTCACAATTTGGTTCGGTTAACTGAAACAGAAAGCCAAACCGGAAGCTTTATTTAGGATTAAAAAAACCCAAAGGATATATGGCTTTAAAAGTCATGATCAGAGCTTTCAAGCAAAGTTCTAAACTTAACACGCCTCTTAACACTACCCATCCTCTCATACCCAATCCCAATCTTGCTATGCATCAGCTTCATAGCTAAATCTGACTTCCCAACTTTCCTCAAAGCATTGATCATAACAGTACGGATCCTCCCAGGCACTTCTCTCCCTCTCTCAGTGATCCCATCAGCTAACTTACAAGCTTCCTTGATCCTACCAGCTTTACACAACGTGTTAATCATGTCTTCACACGCTGCATCAAGAATCACACCCATCGGAGCTAACTCATCCAAGATCTTACACGCTCTCCCAACTTTCCCCGACAAACAAAGTCCAGTAGATAAAGCTCTAAAGCAAGCTGCTGTTGGTGTAATACCTTTGTCTATCATCATCTCCCAAAGCTTCAACGCCTCTTCGTTTCTATGTTCTTTAAACATTCCTGATATGAGTATTGTATATGTATACACCGTTTGATCACAACCTTCCTCTTCCTCCATCCTCTTAAACAACGCTAACGCTTCATCAACCTTCCCACACTTTGTGAACGCGTCGATCAGTGCATTGTAACAGTACGAGTCTCTAGTGCATCCCTTTTCAGACATCTCCTCAAAAAGCCTCTCAGCTTCATCTACTCTCCCCGCTTTTCCTAAACCATCTATAAGACTAGAGTAAAACATCGAGTTAATAGCCAACCCTTTAAACACACAAGTCTCGAAATACCTCAACGCCTCTTCCACTCTCCCGTTTTTACACAAACCATTCACAACAACTGAATAAGTCACCACATCAGGCTCAAACCCTTCGTTAATCATCCTCTGCAAAACCCTCAACGCGTCTTCAACACTACCAAACTTCACATAACCATCAATCAAAACAGTGTATATAGCTACATTAGGTTTAACATCTCTCCGGATCATATTCTCGAAAACAGCATACCCTTCATTCAACTTCCCTTCCTTACAAAGCCCACCAATCACCAAACTATACGCATGAGACGGAACCTCAACTCCCTTCTCCACCATCTCTTGATACAAAGCCACACAAGAGCTAAAATCACTATCCGCATAACACGCCTGGATCAAAGTCATATAAGTAATCTTATCACCCTCAAGTCCCCTCCCCTCCATATCTCTAAACCTCTCCATAGCCTTCTGCGTCCTCCCCGCTTTACAATAACCCTTGATCATAGTGTTATACGTCACAACGTCAGGCTTAACCCTCCCACTCTCCATAACCTCGAAAACACGCTCAGCGGAATCAACAAACATCGAACTCACTAACCCATTCATTAAAAAATTGTAAGTATACAAAGTAGGCTCAATCTCACTCTCCTTCATCTTACGCCACACCCATAACAACTCCTCCACCATCCCAAGCTTCCCAAAACTCTTAATCAGCTCATTAGCATTAGAAACACTCATACCAAACTCCATCCTCCTCAACTCACCAAACACAAACCTAATCCTATCCACGTCTTTGGCTAGAGACAGAACATCAACTAAAGAGACGTAACACTCAAGGCTATGAGTGTACTTCTTCTGCTTACCCGCCCAATAAAAGAACCTCCAAGCGATAATGTGTTGTCTTTCTCGAACCTCATCGGATTTCAACACGAAAGTAACGAAATTTGGGGAGAGTTTGATGAGGAACTTACTGCAGAAAGCGTCAAGATTCGATTCCATGGAAACAGAGCCATCTAAAAGGTTGAGGATTTGGTTTACCCATGGAGACGGCTTGAGATGGTTACGTGACGAGTTCACTAGATCGGAGACATCGTTGAAGGGCTCTATCCATTCCGGAGGAGGAAGTGAACTGTTGCTACTGAACAGAGACCTAACACTTGTCCCAGAACTTGTTAAAGGTAAGACTTTTGAATCTTCCGACAGAAAGTCTCTGTCTTTGTTCAGACAGAAGCATTTTGAAGAGATGAGCGGGCGATTTAGAGCAGTAACAGAAAAGGGTTTCCGGGAAAGTCTTCGCATTTGATGATTTTCTCTCAGGCTGCCCAGTGCTGCTACGACATTAGTCATATAGTACTCGAAGCAGTGTGTGTTTTGGTTTTAGTGTTTTAAGGAGGAAGGTTTAACAACGGTCCCATGGTCTAGCGGTTAGGACATTAGACTCTGAATCTAGTAACCCGAGTTCAATTCTCGGTGGGACCTTCTTTTTTTATTTTTTTTAATAATAATAATTCACTCTCACGAAGTTGTGAGAATTTTTTTAAAGAATTTGAACAACCAAGCATAGATTTTGAGGCACATTTACACTTTATGGATTGGGAATAGATGAAAACAGAACACTTTCTTTTCTTGCTACTAACATAATTTATTGAAAACAATGAAAAGTCATATCTCAAGTCTTTGTTTCTTCTCCAGAGAATCTTGGAAGCTGAACAAGTGAGTTCACTCGAGTAACACCTTCAAGTCCAGACCAGTTCTGTTCACCTTCAGTCTTTTTCTCCTTTTCTGCATCGTTAGTCTCTGCAGCATTCACATTAACGTAACTGTTGTTCTCTGTTGTTGCCCTTACTGTGACGTTTCTCTGAAGACACGGTTCTGTTCCCCCCTGGCTTTCCTCTGATTCCACTGCGTTTGTTGCTGACGAGTAGTATCCTTGTTCGTCGTAGTCTGATGAATCTGAGTCCATTTTCCCGTTTAGAAACAAACACACGACTGCACAGTCGTCCATTTTCGACGTAGGGTACTTTAGTTTCCACTCTCGTGCAGCTGAATCCACCACTAGCCTAGCTGCTGATGCTCGGCTTTGTGCTGATGATACCACTTCAACCACTTCTTCGTTGCTTAGCACATCCCATACCTACCAAAACATTAGAAGCATCAGTAAAAGCAGTTAACTAAGCTCAGAGAATAAGAATGTTCAGTGTTTTACTCCATCTGAGGCCAAGACAATGAACTGATCTCTATCTGTGAGAACACGGTGAGAGAACTCGGGTACTGAAATCACACCGTAGTCTTTCAGACAGAAATCACCAAACGCCCTAGCCATGGCTAATCCAGGAGCATTATCAAATGGTAGCCAGACTCTTGGCACCTCTGGCTCGTCTTCCAACGCAAACACTCTACCTTTACATTGCTTGATCCTCTCTGCTTCCCCTATCAAAACCAAAACCAGTAACATCACTTCAAAAGAATCAGACAAAACGAAAGAAAATATCACAAAATGTTGTTAGAGCATTATACTTGGTAAGTCAGGCTTCAAGTCAACTGTTAGCTGAGTTGCAACCATTGAATCGTTGCTCTCTTTGGATCCAAGTATCGCCCGAGAGTCCCCAATGTTTCCCATGAATAGATGTGAACCCTGAAACAATCAAAACACATATCAAAACCAATACTTGGAATGGAAAAAATCTTTGGATGTCAAGTTTTACCTGTTTAATGACTGTAACAGCAGTGCTGCCGCTGCAGAAGCATTCCACATTAGGATGGGAACGCAGTTCCTTATCCATAGCATTAAAAGCTTTCAAAAAAGCTTCTTCCCACAAGAGCTTCAACTTATCCTCCTCACTAGCTTCTTCCTTGTCAGCAGCTTCTTGGCTATCTGATTTGCTTGTACCGTTTTGCTTCGACTGAATTGAATTCATGAAAGACAGTAACCTTACAGGCAACGATTCTCTCACTTTGCGAGAAACAAGATGGCCATGAGGACCATGTCCATCAAAAACACCGCAGAATGTCACATCTTTAGACATAAAATCCTACAGAAAACACACCAAAAATCCTGCTTATTGTGGACACTAGTAAACATCATTGAGTAAGAAGAGAAGAAGAAACTCACTTCCCACACAATCATTGCGTCCTGATTAATCCCCTTGCGTCCCTGTTGAGTGAAAATGCAAGAACTCTTGCTCTTTCCATTGCTGGTGATCCGGTTGGGAATAGAGACCAAGTTGTTTAGTGAAACGATGCGGCCAGAAGATGTTCTCCTCCCCATTTTGCTCCCACAACATCCCATCCCGAGACAGGGACGATACATAGGCTCTTCATTGCTCTTTGACACACAACCTCCCATTGGTCAATGCAAGCACACGAAAATGAATCTGATCGCAAAGAGAATAAGACACAAAGACTCCCCCAGATCCCCCAATGTAAATGCTTCACCAGCACACTTGGTCAAATCAAAGAGCTTTCACACAAGTTTCTTAATTCTGAATTTAAATACTCTGTGTGTTTCTCTTGGAATCTTGGTCAATGATGATGTATGAACCGTCAGCTGAAAACATTGCAGAAAAAAATGATTTTAGTGAATTGTTTAATGCAAAGTTCCAAAAGAAAAGCAGACTCCAACTAGTCATAAAAAAAGAAAACCACAGCATGTGATCTTTGCAATAGAAAATACTAGTATATATTATTACTAAACAGCCTGTGCTAACTGTTTTGTCGTTGAACCAGCCTTAAGACTCTTATTGTTCCAATTCACTAATCCTTTGATAATAAGTTAATCAAAAATAAGAATCAAAAAGACATGCAAATCAAGAACAGAGAGTATCCCCATTAGTGTTAAATACACATATAATTGTTATGGGGACAATTTGCTATATGAAAACATGAAATGTATACTTTCGTTTTCATTGCAAGTTTTCTCATAACAAAAAACCCTTAGATTGTTGTAAATGTGTAGAGACAGAGGAATCGTGAAAGGGCATCGACGTGGAGATTCTATTGAACATATAGATGAAAGCATGAAAGGTGGTATCTTTTTTTAAGTAGAAAAGCGTTGCACTTTTTCACAAATCCGATTCAGATAAACGGATCTCATAACTTCCATAACTCAAAACAAGTGACTGAGAAACCGAGAAGACAACAAAACCCAAATAAAAAAAAATATTTAGAAGAGATCCAACGAACCAACGAAGCCAGATGAGATCACACACAGAGTCTACAAGAGAGTGGTGAGATCAGAAAGAGATCCAAAGGAAATATTGTGAAGCAAAAAGGACGAACCTTGGGGATAGAGGTTCGTATGGAAATGATGAATAATAATAATTATTCAGAGACAGTGACTAGTTAAAGTGCGAAAGAGATGAGATGAGAGAGTTGTGTCTGTGTAGTGATTGGTGAAGTAGTTGTAGTCGTCGGAGATATGGGTGAGATCTCATTAATTGAACGAAAGTAAAGGAACAAAAGATAGAGATTAAATTAAAATAAGATAAACAAAGAGCTTCTCCCACAGAATCTTTTCTGGTTTTTCGCTTCTTTCATGAAATATCAAATCAAAGCTTCCTCCATGCTCTATAAATTTTATTATTCATTACTTACTACTGTATAGTTGTTTCGCGCATTTTCACCTTTTTATACAAACACTGAAACATTGATTTTATATTACTACAAAACATAGAAGTAAGATGTTGGTTTAGACAATATGGTTGGTTGTCGACATGAAAAGATCAAATGCAGACATTGATGGAACGTTGGACTCCACAATATATTAAAAATAGATAATCTTTTTCGTTTCAAAAATATATCATGAAATCCATCGAAAGACATGCTATAACTTTTAGGTATTTATTTCGATTGTGATTTCAACTAATAAAAAGTAAATGACAGGTCCTCACAGCTTATTTTCCCACTTAGTTATGTGTTGACGAATCGTATGGTTCACGGACTTCTTACGTAGTCTAGTTGCCTTTACCTTTCTTTGTTTTTCTCTTTTCACACCTGGCCAATTAAATACACCTCTTAATTATAAAAGCTCTTTATCTTTTTGTTCCAAAGTTTCTTTAGTTATTTTCCATTAGAAATTTTTAGTAATAACCTTCAAAAAGATTGAGAGAAAAAAGTTCATCATCCCATGTGTATGACAGCAATAGAAATTATATAATGTCACGTGTTTTGTGGGTCTAAGTTAATCCTTCAATTGCATTATCAAAAGTATATCCACGAGACCATGCAAATTAGTCACTCATCAGGTGGGGTTTAGCCTTATGGGCTTCCATTCTATAATTTACACTTATGGGCCTTTGTTAACAAATGAAGCCCATACGAAATAAAAGAAGACAGGACCTTGACCTGGCAGTGGGACCACACAAGATCTAGAACAGAGACACTCCATTGCTGGACTTGGATCCTCCATATCTCTCATCATCCAATCCGGATAAGAAGATAAGGACACGCGTCAAACATCCAGCACTCCCAAGACATTTTTTACTAAGACACACAAAACTCTTGTTTCACTCTCTTACACCTTTCCTCAAGCTCCGACAATGGCTTCAGCTTCAGCGACAGCTACTCTTCTCAAACCCACTCCTCTTCCACCGCATAAACCGATCATCACCGCCTCCCTATCTCCTCCTCCTCTTCCTCCTCCACGTCGTCACAACCTTCTCCGCCGCGATTTTCTCTCCTTCTCCGCCGCATCGACAATTCTTCTAACGCAATCACTCCCGTTTCTAGCTCCCTCGCCTGCTTCTGCAGCGGAAGACGAGGAGTACGTGAAAGACACGTCGGCAGTGATCTCCAAAGTTAGGACGACGCTCTCGATGGAGAGGACAGATCCGAATGTGGCGGATGCGGTGGCGGAGCTGAGAGAAGCGTCGAACTCGTGGGTTGCTAAGTACAGGAAAGAGAAAGCTCTTCTCGGGAAAGCGTCTTTCAGGGATATTTACTCGGCGTTGAATGCTGTTTCCGGACATTATGTGAGTTTTGGACCGACGGCTCCGATCCCGGCGAAGAGGAAGGCGAGGATTCTTGAAGAGATGGAGACTGCAGAGAAAGCTTTGTCTAGAGGAAGATAAAAATTTACTGTGAGACCTAACCATTTCTTCTCCTTCTTGAGTTCCTTGTTGATGAAGTTTTCTTTTGCCTTTAAATGGATATTGGATTATATAAAAAGAGAAACTTGAATTTGCTCGTTTGTTTTTGTTAAATACTTTTCATGATAGTTACTTGATTTATCATTTACAATAACCAATTTCATTTTCTAATTAAAATGTTGATATTTATAGTTTGTGTGAGCACTAACACTCTAGCAGTATTTTTGGAAGTAATCCCTAGTAGATAGTATTTCATTTAACATAGGAGAACGATGACATTTGTTCTATACAATTTTCAAATTTTATTGGAAGGTATCAAGTCTTGATTCCTGGAAGTTACTATTAGAAAGATATCATTTTGAAGAACTCCATTTAATTTATGAAGAACTGCAAGGACAATGGATCATCAAACTAGTGTTAACTCTTAAGTTTGGTCCGACATTTTGTTTATGGGTTATAAACTTATAACTCAAAAGCTCGATTTCCGTACAAGATATAACTCTCCATGGTAGTATGTTTTTCCTATAAATTTTGTTTCATCTCTGGTTTGAATTTGAAAGTAGTGTAAATTACATTTCTTGAATGTCCAAATCTCCCAAAGGCCGAAAGCTGGTATACTTGCATTAATTGGTTATCAAGAAAAAAGTCGATTTATGAAAGCCTCTCATATGGCCCATCTTTAAAGCCCAAAAAGTGTGTGGTTTAGTAGTTCTAGTATTTAAGTGACCACAACTACCCAAAGCATACGAACATCTCACGTGTAGGTCTACATGTGAATTCAACTACCACATGGCTCGTATTTATTTTATTTTAAAATCATGTATCCATAATCTATCACTCGTTCACTCTATTTGGAGTATATTTGGTTTGAGTCCTGGTAATTGTAGCTGTTTGTTAATTTCAACGTAATAAATAAGAACACGTGTAACTGCATAATACTACTACTGATTATGACCTTTCCAATACGTAAAAGTTGATTAGCGTAAATTAATGACGGTGGTGGCCGGCTGCTGTATAAACCCAACCCACTACGCCTAATTTATGTGGTCAATAAGTAATTAATAATCTTGCATCACGTTTTTTTCACTTGTCAACGATATTTAATAATTTTGGTAGGAGTGCAGGTCGATATTTATTTTCTTCGATATGGTGGGGAATATATTATTTCCTTTACCATACTAGTAGTAAAATACGAAATTGAATTTTCGGTTTTACGTCTGCTTTACCAAAAGTTAAGTTATTTGAAAAGAAACAATCAATTAAATTTTCTTAAACAGCCTTTTCTAGACCATGTACCGCACCATTTTTAGGGGTCAAAACGTCTAGATAGTGAAGTATATGGCTCCGAATGGTGACGGCGGAATTAGTAACAAAAGCGGTACAGAATTAAAATGCGGGACGGTACAACTGCGGTCCATGCGGAATTATAATGCGGTACGGTACAACTGCGGTTTTCAATAAAAAGTGATGTAGAAATTGTTTGATTGGTGATAATGCATATTTGCGGTATTGGGTAATTATTTAAAAATAAAATAATGATAATAAAAAAACATTTAATGTATTAAAATAATACTAAATAATATATTAACATTTAAATACATTTTAAAAATATCTTAGATTGAATAAACGTGGTTTTGATAAAATAGACAATACGGTCACTCATTATGTCTCTATATAATACTGTATAGTATATATTTTAAATGCCGAGATTTTTTTTTTAATTTGAAATATTGAACTGATTTAAATAAGAATATAAATGTAATGGGTTAGTTTTAATATGGTTCCATTACAAAAAATATGGTTCCACTACTTGAATATATTTACGTGTTACATATTACATGTAGTTTTTTTGAAAAAAAAAAAAAAAACTACATGTAATATGTACACGTAAATATATTCAAGTAGTTATATTTTATAGTATGTGATGGCGTGGTAAAATACTGTGATTGTTCTTAGTTTAATCTATATACATTATATAAACTTACAAATAAAAACAGTTATTAAATTTGAAGACGCAAATACAATATGTATTGTTATTATTTTTGAATTGTAAATAAGTATGTTAAGATAAAGACAGCATATGTATTTCTAATATATTTTATTCAGAATAAAGAATGAAGGAAATTATTGTTAGTGCGTTATTCAGTAAAAACACTACCTACTACATGCGTTACCAATTTGAAGTGCGTTATTTATATATACTGAACAAATTATACAGTTGCGGTACATTTGCGGTTTTCCGTTTTGGTTTTACAAAACCGCAAATCTCTTTAATGAATATTGTGAATGGTGTAACAATTGCGGTTTTACCAAAACCGCTATGAAATCCGCACTCAGCATGTTACCATTCATAACCATAATATAAGATCAGTACATGCATAGATTTCGATATGATTGGACTTTATTGTATAAACTACTGTATATAGTAAAAGAACAAAAGCACGTGAAGAAAATGAGATGTGGTGAGTGGTAGACGATGAAACTCGGTCAAACTTAAAAAAGATAACTCTTTGACTTTTGCAAACCTGTGTCTTCTCTGATCAAACATCCAGATTATTCCAGAGAGTTTATTTTTGACAAAGTATTATTCCAAAGAGATAAAAATTTGCAAAAACCATAAAACGAGTATTAGAGATAATAGAATAACACTTGACGTTCGTCTCCAGCAACGCAAATCGTTTTAATTTTCTTCTCTTTCTACCTGTTTCCCCGAGAAAAGCTTCTGTCTTTCCCGGAAAAATCTCTCTTCTCCTTCACCAGCATTCAGAAACTTTTCTATTTTCCCTCGCTTCACTTCTTTTTTTTTTAATCTTTCATCGTGTAACTTTTTTCTCTTACTCAGCATAAGAGATCTCGACGCGTGTCATCTAAAATTCACGAGAGAATCACACGACAAAAAGGACAATAAATAAATTAAAATAAAGAAAACAAAATTCGATATTGCTTGCTTACACACATTGATTGTCGTCTAGATTGAGATCCGTCCTTCTCCAGTCATTTTCTTTTAAACAGATTCCATTTTCTCTTCCATTCCTTTTTCTCTCTCTTTTGTCTTGTTCCCTTTTGCTTCTCCCTTCAAAAAAAAATCCATCCTTCATATAACGTCAAAGCTCATCAGAATCCCATCTCTCTCTGTTTCTCAATCTCTGTGGAGGAAAGGAACCATGGTGAACGGTAAAGGGTCAACAAAAAAATCGAATCTTGATCGGTTCCTTCATTGCACAACACCCTTAGTCCCTCCCCAATCTCTCCCAAAGGTTTGTTCTTTCTTTTTCAAACAAACGTTTTTCGATTTTTATAATGTTGTCAATTTTTAATTTTGTCAGGTGGAGATTAGAAGCTTGAATCGATTGTGGCATCCGTGGGAGAGAGAAAAGGTTGAGTTTTTCAGGTTGAGTGATCTTTGGAACCGTTACGATGAATGGAGTGCTTATGGAGCTAGTGTCCCTATTCATCTCACCACTGGTGAATCTCTTGTTCAATACTATGTTCCTTATCTCTCTGCCATCCAGATTTTCACCTCTCATTCCTCCTTGATCTCGTTAAGGTTTGAATCTTTATTGCTTTTTGATTGTGTGTTAAAAGAAAGTATCTTTTTTTTTTGATTGAATCTGGTGTTTGGTTTGTTAATTAGGGAAGAGTCTGAAGACGGGGAAAGTGATGGGAGGTATCCTTTTAGTGATTCAGGTAGTGATGAGAGTGTCTCTGAGGAAGGGCTTGAGAATAATCTGAATGATCGTTTGGGTTATCTTTATCTTCAGTATTTTGAGAGATCTGCTCCTTATACTAGAGTTCCTCTCATGGATAAGGTAATATAAAACCTTGTTTTCATTTGGATGAGAGCTTGGTTTGACATTTGTGAGATGATTTTGATTACAGATCAATGAGTTAGCTCAAAGGTATCCGGGGTTGATGTCATTGAGAAGTGTAGATCTTTCTCCAGCGAGCTGGATGTCTGTTGCGTGGTATCCTATTTATCATATACCAATGGGAAGAACCATTAAAGACTTGTCCACTTGTTTCCTCACTTACCACACTCTCTCCTCTTCCTTTCAAGGTCTGCACTCTCTCTATTTAATAATCCTTAAACTCAAATAATCACAATGGGGTTTAATGCTAATGGTATGACAGATATGGAGCCGGAAGAGAATGGAGGGGAGAAAGAGAGGATGAGAAAGGAAGGGGAAGACATAACTCTACTCCCATTTGGGATGGCTACTTACAAGATGCAAGGAGATGTTTGGCTTTCTCATGACCATGATGACCAAGAGAAACTGGCTTCACTTTCTAGCGTTGCGGATTCTTGGCTAAAACAGCTTAGAGTCCAACATCATGACTTCAACTACTTCTGCACTATGTCAATGACTCCTCGTGGCTAAAACCAACCTCTGGTTCGATGTTTGTTTCTCTCTCCTCATCATCATCATAAAGTCCCATCCTTTTCTTTGTTATGGAACTGCTGGCGTTTTGTTTAAAACGCAGTTTGAGTGATCTGGCTTTTGTTAGCGTTTTTTTGGTTAGGATAGCGTTTTAAGATACCTAACCTTTTGAGAAAATGTTAATGTCGTATATAGAGTTTGTTGTCTTGTTGGAACAGAGTAATCGTTGGTTGTTGTTGCGTGTTTACAAACAGAGTAAATGCTTTCTTGTAAGTTTATATAACATCCTTCACATAACCATCAGCATCGTTACTGAAGCAATATACATGTTTACAGAATTACAGTTTGTCTTTTTTTTAAAAGAAAATACTCGTTCGAGAAATAAATTACAGTATTAATCTAAGCATATTTATTACTTGTGAGAGAATAAAAGCGTCCAGCTCCAAGAAATAGACATTTCGAATTGTATACGAATCGTGGGAATGTGGTTGTAACTTGTAAGGCATCTTATCCTTCACGTTAGGTTTAAAGTGATCCCTTCTGTTTTGTTATACTGTAGCGGATAAGGTCAAATACACATTTTTCGAACTCCAATGCGAGCAAACGTAAAGAACCTTATCTTAACCTTTTATTTTCAATTGGGAATACAATACTATAAGGTCATACATCAGAACGACTTTTCAAAATAACGGTTAGGTTTCAATTTTAATGTCGACACGGACAATACCGGTCTGAATATCATTACTACTATTGACGAACGAAAAGATTCATCAGTGTTTTAACAAAACAAGTATGTATGCACTAATTTTGATATGTAACATGATTATTCATTTTTAAACCATTTAAAGAAAATCTGCTCTTTGATTATCGTTTCTTTACATTCATAAATCCAGTTAATTTACACATAAGAAAATCTAAATAGAAGGAAATAAAAGAAAATTCTATTGGAACAAGAGATTATAAGCAGGGAGATCTTGAATCCGATGAATATCTTCCAAAGAAAGCTCTCTCTCTAGCTGATTCCGAGTCGCCTGCAATACTTCCTGATATATATATAATCACATTAATATGTTTGCACAAGAATCATCAATTTTCAAGAATAACCATCAAAGAGAGAGGCTTACATTGAATTCCATGTAAGAAGCGTGCATGGCAAGCCATTGAGCATCCATCATCGCGAAAGCTATACAATATAGTACATCGAATGCATTCTCGTCTTCTGTAATGTCGGATATGGTTCTTGATTATTCAAAGATTATCATACACTAACTTGTCTTGAATTATATAATATACTACTTTGTTTACCTTCTAAGAGTTTGAGAAAATTCATTCCTGGAAGACATTTCGGCTTTGCTGCATAGCAAACAAACACGATAATTTAAAAAAAAATTTCAAAAAGAATTTGTTAATAATATGTATGGACATGAACGGTGAAGAGTTAAACATGAACGTACGAGAGTTTTGTAAATCGAGCATTTGGATCAGCATGAAGGAGATATTGATTCCAGCCACCGCAAAAGGGTACTCCCACTTTGCCCTATCGCCTTTTTGTTTCAGTAATAGCCTCCGGAAACAAACCTTTTCATTTGTATAAAAACACATATTTTCATATACCTTATTCATGTAATATGAGGAAGCCATAGCTATTAATTATATGATAGGTAAATTACCGGATATGTTCTTGCTGAGAATAGCAAATTCTCTAGACCAATAAATCCGCAACCCCTTCAAACAAAATGTTAAAACTTAATCCTAAGTATTTCCCCTTAAGACAATCCTAATAACACTTTATTATACACCACAATGTTACCTGAAATCTGTAGATGGATTGGGACCTTGCCATCCCATATCTTTCCACTGCTCTGTTACTAAGCCTGTGAGACTAACATTCGGAAATGCAGCATTCCACAATGCTTTAAGTGATTCCTGTCGCCATTATTAAGCATAAACAATAAACCTTCCATGTTGTTTAGTTGCCGTTAAACATCTTAAGAATAAGGTCAATTATTGCACTTACCTGATGGTCAATACGTGTCTCTTCAAACGGTACAAGCAAACGATCTTGCAGCTTTAGAAGTCTTTCCTCCTATGATTGATTACAAATAAAAAAAATGTTACACACCATTTCTGATGTCTTATATAGCTTGTATATGAAACTTAACCTGAAGAGGAGATAAAGTGTAGTCGATTGACTTGTCTTGACGTCTACTTGAGCGTGTAAAGAGCCCTCCTATCCATGATCTTGTTCCAACAATACCCGTAGCTACAACCACCGGTTCACTGAAACATATATATACATATAAGCTGATAGATCTAGCCAGTGCATAATTAATAAACTATCACTCTCACACACACACACATTATACTCCGTGATCTCTAGCAAAACATACTCATAAAAACATTAACTTAGCTAGTTGAGTTATTACGTGAGTGGAACTACTTGACCGCTGACATCTCGGTTCTTTGTTCCCTTTTTGTCGCCTTTCCCACGCTTCATCCTCCTCTACCTACACACATGTTTGTGATCGACGTTAGCAGAGCACATTATAAAACTTGTGAAGACCAGAAAATTTAGCTTAGTCACTTACAAGAATGATATGGTGTCTTTGATTGATGAAATAAAAGATGAAGAAAATGAATGAGGTGATTACTTGGTGAAGAGACAAAACAAGAAGGAAAGTATTGTCTATATATGCTTCCTGAACGTCATGAGAGAGGGACACAAATGTTTAAAGAAAAAAAGATTAACTAACCATGACTTTTAAACCAAGATAACAAAATTTATCACAAAACCATAAGTAAATGCATGTAGAAAAAGAATTTAGGTATCACCCTAAATCCAAACTAAGAGTCATCAAAACAGAGATTAGTATGAGAATAACAAATGAAAGTAATTGGTTTTGCAAAAAAAAAAATTCTTGGAATGAAAAACCTAGATTATGCAAAGTTGAATGGTAAAAAAACTTTAAAAAAAAACAGGTGGATGAAGATATATGCAGAGGTAAGTTGATCACAGATAGGTTTTAGTATTTTTTTTGGTTGCGTACAGGTCAGAGTTTGTAAAAATAGATACTATTTTCGTGATTATTTAACAGGTTTAGTTAAGCTAGACATAATTGTAGGTTGTTATACATGATTTTGTAGTTTTTTACGCGCTTGGTTAATTTAGAATAAGTAGGAACAAGATAAACATCAAAAGAGTAATGAATGATTAATTCTTCATTCATGTTCTAATCTAAAAAATTCAACAATGCATCATCATTTACATTTCACTTAGTCAAATTTTTGTGATTACAAAAAGGTGTGTCAATAAGGTGTAACTAACACAATAGCGCAATCAAAGGGGCTCTCTTATCATTACTTTTTATGTACAGTTTAGAACTTTACAATGCAATCACCTTGAATACATCATGTGCAAACAAATCTTTATGATTGATTAAATGTCGAATAGGGAGAAAGTTACCTGTTATTGACTTAGGAACAAGACAATGGAGGAGGAAATAGCCTAGACAAGGTGGCGATGAACAAGGAAGAAGAGAGAGAAGAAGAAAGAAAAAGAAATTAGAAACAAAAATGAAATTCTTCATTGTAATTTTGCAAGTTTTAGAAATTGCAAGAGGATGAAGAGAGTTGTGATCCAGAAGTGTTTTTTCTCTCTCTCCCTTTTTTGTTTCTTTTCTCCAATCTCTTCATTTACCGTTAAGTTGCCGCCTTCTTCTCCCTTCCACCAAAATTAATCTTTCCACATTTGGACCGTCAAGATCATTTTACGTCTAACCTTATCAACGGTGATCAGATCAGTTAGTTAATCAACACTAAAACCAACTTTTTAAATTAAGCCCATACCAAGGCCCAACAAGCGAGAAGGGATAGATTATCAGACAGTGAACTAGTGATCTGATTGGTTGAGAGAAAGCTTGTGAGCGTTACAGACACGTGTAACTAACCAAATACTACCTTATCTTTCTGTCTTCCCCTAAAATCGAATAACGTAGAAGACACTGAACCGTACAGAAATGGCTGCATATTCGCTTCTTCCTTCTACCGTCTCAATCCGCAAAGAGGTATGGTTATGCTTTCAGAATTATCACTTTTTTTTTTTTGAAAGATAATTGCAGAAATGTCACAGTAACTTTTCATTTTCATTTTCAGAAAGGTAAGTTCAGTGCTTCTCTAAAGGAGACAACTCTAACTGGATTTTCATTTTCCAACCATCTTAAATCCGACAAGAACTCCTCCTTCTTAACCATCAAGGTAAAAAAAATCAATCACCTTATATATCTTCAATTTTTTTTTTTTTGAATGAATGTTAAATTTATTCGATTTAAAGCATTTTTACAATGACTGCAGCTTTAAATCAGAAACAGAATTAGACTAGTAATAAAGATATTGATAAGAAACATCCCACATCGGAAATATAAGAATTAATCAACTACTATATAAACGATTAAGGCCAATCCACTAATCACCAATTGGTTTTAAGTTGGAAGCCCATAATAAACCCGAATCTAACAAAAGATTACATATGCATAGAGTATCATCTTGCTTGACAAGCAAACCATATATCTTCAATTCTCAAAAACAGAGAAATGTTATTAGAGAATGAATTTTTACTCTGTTTTGACAGGAACAGAGAAGACAAAGTCCACGTTTTTCCACTGTTATCCGCGCACAAACAGTTACAGCAACACCTCCATCTAACGAAGCCTCCCCGGAGCAAAAGAAGACTCAAAGAAAAGGCACCGCAGTGATCACCGGAGCTTCCTCTGGTCTAGGTTTAGCTACAGCCAAAGCTTTAGCAGACACGGGGAAATGGCATGTGATCATGGCGTGCAGGAACTTTCTCAAAGCCGAGAAAGCTGCAAAATCCGTAGGAATGTCAAAGGAAGATTACACAGTGATGCATCTTGATCTCGCCTCGCTAGAAAGCGTGAAGCAGTTTGTTGATAGTTTCCGTAGAACAGAACGACCGTTAGATGTTCTTGTCTGTAACGCTGCGGTTTACCAACCAACTGCTAAAGAACCTTCTTTCACAGCTGAAGGGTTTGAGATAAGCGTTGGAACTAATCATTTAGGACATTTTCTTCTTTCAAGATTGCTTCTTGATGACCTCAAGAAATCTGATTATCCATCAAAACGTATGATCATCGTTGGATCTATAACAGGTAATTAACAATAAGTCAATTCCACAAAAATAGTTTCTAGTTTCAGACAATGAATGTTATGTTGTTGTAGGAAACACAAACACTTTGGCTGGGAATGTACCACCAAAGGCGAACCTTGGAGACCTAAGAGGCTTAGCATCAGGACTAAACGGG